AAACACTAAACAGGGTTGGTTTGCTATGAGTCAGAACCAATTTGACGGCACTTTAACAACAATAACAAAAGATTCTTGTGTCTGGTCTGCAAGACTCTTGCTTTAAGTTGAAAGTTCTTGAAGAATTACTTTTAAACCCATGGACATTATGCTAGATATGTTCTTTTCAACTTTCATGATAGATATAAAAGACCACACCGTTCTGAGAGGAGCTAGTTGGAGCCAAAGAAACAAATGAGTCCTTTGGTTGGTATCACACTGAGGTGACCCTAAGCAAACACATCTGTTTTCTAGAGGAACCCCCGCAGCCTTCTTTCTGTGCTAGAATCAGAACTACCTTCTGTATCTTTTTTTTTTTTCCTTCCCCTAACTGGGAAACAAACAAGAAAGGTTCTGAAAGATCCAAGCAGAGGGGAAAGTAACACCCTGGGTCCTTTTCTCCAATCTTTTCTTCTGCTGCTTCACCTGTCTGGCTGCCCCCTGAATGTTTGTTAATCCAATGAATGATTAAGTATTTGCAGGTCTTAAAAGAGTTTCTGAAAAGTTTGGTTTCAACCAAATCTATTTTTGTTTTTGTTTTTTTACATGCACTAGATGCTCTGGTAGCTTAGTGGTTATGGATCAGGCTGCAAACCGCAAGGTCAGCAGTTCGAAACTACCAACTGTTCCGCAGGAGAAAGATGAGGCCTTCTGCTCCTGTAAAGATTTATGGCCTCAGAAACCCTGTACAGGGTCGCTATGAGTCAGAACCGACTCCACGGCATATAGCTTCCTAGCTATTTAAAGTGTTGCTGTTGTTAGTTGCTGTCACGTTAATTCTGACCCCATGTGACAGAATAGCACTGCCCTATAGGATTTCCTGGACTGTAATCTTGGTGTGGCACTTTAAGATAAAGTACTGGAACACAAGGTTGCTTTGAACCACAGGTTGGAGGTTCAAACTCACCAGCTTATCCTTGGAAACCCTAAATAGGGTTGCTAAGGGTCAAAACCAACTCGAGGGTACTTAACAATAACAACAGTCTTTATGGAAGCCTATCACCAGATCTTTCTCCCATGCCAACAAGTGGTTCCCACTCAGAACTACTCCATATGGGGTTTCCAAGGTGTTAAAACTTTGCAGGAGCAGAAAGCTTCATATTTCTCCCCTGGTGGAGTCGAACTGCAGACCTCGTGGTTCGTAGTCAAGTGCTTATTGTATGAAGCCATCGTATTCTTTGTAGGAAGGAATAAATTCTTGGACAAAAAAAAAGCTTTTAGTAGCATGCACATCTTCTGGGAAAATTGGACTTTCCTTAGAAAGGCCTATGGTTGGTGGCCCTTGGCTAACTGAAAAGAGTTAGAGAAATTGTATTTCATTAGCATGGTTCCCAAAGACATTTGGCACATTTGTGGCAGAGTAATAATGTACTTCCTACAGCAGATCCCTGAGGAATCAGAGAGGAAGTCCTGCCCAGGTCCCTTTTGCTAATTGGGAAACTCCCAAATCCCTGGGTCACCATGAAAAAATCATGACCTTGCCATAGATGAAGAGTTCTTAACAGTTATTTAATCTTTGTTCTTACCAAAGTGCTCTCCACCTAGGAACCACAGTGCAAAATCCTGAATTATCTGCATTTTAAGGAATATAATAAAAAGCCTCTGGTGCATGAGGTAAACTGGTGATGAAGCACAGTCCTGAGTAAGGCAGAGGCTTTCTTCGGAGCCTTCAAACAACCACTTGGCGTGACTCACTATTTCAGCATGGCTGGATGGCTGGAGAGGAACCGAAAAATGAAAATACTCACGTTGCTCATTAGCAAAAGGAAATACGCAAATGTTGAGGGTCCCTTCGTGCCTTCACGTCAGAGCCACACTCTTCTGTTTTGATCTGCCCCCCTTTAAGCTTCAAGCTGAGAGTTCTTTTTAGCTATTGTGCTGATTACAGAGGGTCTTCATAATGCTAGAAATGAGGGGTTCTAGGTAATAGTATCTTCAGCATTGGCTACTTTTACCAGACTTGGATGCATTTTGTGCTCGAATTCTCATTGTAGACTTACATTTTTTACAACAAGGTTTCCCAGCAGCACTATCCATATTTGGGCCAGAAAATTATTTGTTGCAAGGGATTGTGGTATGCACTGTGGGATGTTTAGTAGCATCCCTGGTTTCTACCCATGTGTTGTCCGTAGTATCATCACCCCCAAGTTGTGACAACCAAAAATGTATGCAGACATTGCCAAACATTCTCTAGGCGACAAACCTAACACACACAGACCTTCTCCCTTTGAGAGCCACTGTTGTATAGGAAAGAAGCAATAAATACAAAATCATCTTTTCCTAAATTTGTTGTGCATCTAGTAGGTCCTAAGATATTTCTGCATGGTACAACATTTAACTTAATTCAATTTCTATGTGTAAGAGAGGAGTCTACCCAGAACCTCTTTGGAATAAAGGCTTGGCAATCTACTTATGAAAGAAATCAACCATTGAAAGTACCATGAAGCATAGTCCTGTTCCGACACATGGGTCGCCATGTGCCAAAATCAACTGGTTTTTACTGGTTAAAATGTTTCATGCAGTTTGACACCTGAGTGGTATTTGGTGTGCTCTCTGTGTGGTATGTCATTGTTAGGTACTGTCAAGTTGGTTCTGACTCATAGTGACTTTATGAACAATAGAACAAATCGCAATTGTTGTTAAGCTTGATCCCATTCCTGCTGCCACTGTGCCAGTCCATCCTGTTAGGGATCATCTTTCTTTTCTCTGACCCTCCACTTTACCAAGCCTGATATCCTTCCTCAGGGACTGGTGCTTCTTCATAATATATCCAAAGTATTAGAGACAAAGTCTCGCCATCCTGGATTCTAAGGATCATAATAGCTGTACTTTTTCCAACACAGATTTGCTTGCTCTTCTGGCAGACCATGGTACTTTCAATATGCTTCACCAGCACCCTAACTCAAATGTATCAATTCTTCTGTGGTCTTCCTTATTCATTGTCCAACTTTCACATGCATGTGAGGCTATTGAAAAATATCATGGCTTGGGTCAGGCACACCTTAGTCCTTAAACCGACATCTTTGCTCTTCAACACTTTAAAGAGGTCTTGTGCAGCAGATTTGCCTAACGCAATATGTTGTTTGATCTCTTGACTGCTGCTTCCATGAGTGTTCATAGTGGCCTGGACTGATTTTATAGTCTTTGAGGGCCCTTCATAAAAACTCAGAATCTTCTGTTCCCATGCTCATAATATTTACCTGATCAAGTCACTGCCTATCTATTCATTCATTCATTTATTCAGTCTTCTTGTTGTTGTTAAGTGCTGTAAAATCAGTTCCAACTCAGAGAGACCCTGTATAAGATTTTCAAGGAGCAGCTGGTGGGTTTGAACCACTAACCTTGTGGTTCAGAGTCCAGTGCTGATCCTACAGCACCACACCAAGAGTCCATTGATTCTTTTTTTTTTTTCTAATATTTTATTGTGAATTATGTGATAGTTTACATGGGAGAACTATCACATAAGAGAACATTAGCTTTACATTCATCCTATCATATATTGTTTCATTGCCATGGTTACGATTCCCTCCATGCATCATCAACCAACCAAAGGGTATACCCTACAAGCCTGCCCCCCCACTGGTCATCAGCACACAGCCCCTCTCCCTCTTTGGGTCTAAAGTCCCCAGCCGCTCCATCTCTCCACATCATTGTCTCTGCTCCATCTCTGGTGTCACTGCTTCTCTGGGTAGGGTCCCGCACTCCACTTTTCTCCCTTGATGGTCCCAGGGACCTCCACTCCTAGACTACAAAGTTAATCACTTCCCTCCTTGCTACAGAGTCCACTGATTCTTAGTGAGCTCATACTACCTGCTCCAATGAACAAACACAACCTCTAAACCAGAATTCCCACAAGGTCGATAACTCATCCACCTTTCTCAGCTGACATGGAGGAACATGATCATTGGTGTCAGACAGTCCTGGGTTCACATCCCACCTCCCCTGCATAAAGGGTAGCCTTGGAGTGATTTTCAAGTTCATGTGCCTCTGTTTCCACATCTGAAAATGAGAATGATCTTGTCTACATTACAGGATTTTATGTGGCCTCAATGAAATCATGCTTGTCAGCACCAGGGGATGTTAACTTATTGTGTAGCAACCAGTAAGGTATTATGTATGAATTGCCATGTTTGTAAGTCATAAACAGCCAAATATTAGCAACTTCACAGAATTCAACCAAATATGTAAATGCTGAACTCTCCTTTTCTCGTGTGGTGGGTGACCAGAAAAGATATGGAAGGAGTCTTCTTTATTATTTTCCTATATGACCTGCTTCCTTTTGGAGGATGCTTCCTGCCTGGCACAATTTAACAAACTTCAGAAAGAGCAAAGCTAGTCGTATCAGTCCCAGCGTTCACAGCTGGCGTGTATTGTAAAAGGCTGTGTCTGGTATGGGACTGTGGATTAATGTGCTGGACTGCAAAGTCAGTTTGAACCACAGGTTTGCTGGTTCAAGCTCATCAGGTGCTCCTTGGAAACCTATACAAGGTTGCTATGGGTTGGAACTGACTCGACAACACTTAACAACAACAACAACATATGAAATTACACATTCTTTACCATCCTGCCAAGGAGCCCTAATGGCACAGTAGTTAAGCAGTTGGCTTCTAACCAAAAGATTGGTCATTTGAACCCCCCATCTGCTCCATGAGCAAAAGATGTGGCATTTACCGCGTTGGAAGCCCTCTGGGACAGTTCTGCTGTGTTCTCCAGGGTTGCTGTGAGTCAGAAATTACTTTGTGGCAATAGGTTTGTTTGGGGGTTTTTATTTGTTTTTTTTGTGTGTGTTTTCTTCCTGCCAATTTGTGAGAAAATAGCCTGAATTTTAGCAGTTCCTCAGTTTGGACGTGGGGGAAAGAGAGAGACAGAGGGCAGCTGGTTTGTTTCTATTGCTTCGGTGTCTGTTCCTGGGTAGCCCTCGTGGCAGGGATTTCTCTGATGTCTCCTTCTTTATGTCTCAGGTCACGCTCCTGATTGCCTTCACCTGTGTGAGGAGCTCTCTGAAGAAGGACTACAGTGCCTACAGCTACTTTGAAGTGGTCACCATTTGCGACTTGATAATGATCCTCGTCTTTTACCTGGTTCATCTCTTTCGCCTCTACCACGTGCTCACCTGCATCAGCTGGCCCATGTCGGTAAGAGAGTGGCCTGGCTCCATTCACAGTTCCTTTGGGCAGTCTGTGGCGAGTCTGATGCAGATATCAGAATATTAGCTGGGGCACCCAGACCCAACGGAGTACTCCCCACCTGCCCACCCTACCTCCTTGACTGTCCTTTGCTGCTTCAGCCCTTAACTTCTCACAGTTTGGTGGACACCTGCCCTTGATATCCTGCTGGTATCTAAAACTCACTTTTCCACTCTAAAGGCTTGCCTCTTGCCTCAGTGTTATTTTCTTAGAAGAGAGAAGTGAGCTATGTACATATTAACAGGAAAATGAACATGGAAGAAAATAACCAATAAGTGGGGGGTGGGTATTTTTAACAGCTTTATTGAGATCAAATTGGCATGCCGTACAATTCACCCACTTGAAGTGTACAATTTATTGGCTTTCACTGTATCCACAGGGTCATGCTCCCATCACAGTTTTGTTGTTGTTGTTAGATGCCGTTGACTCATAGTGACCTTAATGCACAACAGAACGAAACACAGCCTTGTCCTGCTCCATCCTCACAGTTGTTAAGCTTGAGCCCATTGCTGCTGCCACTGTACCAATCCACCTCGCTTGGGGTTGTCCTCTTTTTCACAGACCCTCCACTTGACCAAGCATGATGTCCTTCTTTAGGGACTGATTCCTCCTGATAGCACGACTGAAGTGGGAGAGACAAAGTCTTGCCATCCTGGCTTCTAAGGAGCATTATGCTGTACTTCTTCCAAGACAGATTTGTTTGTTCTTCTGGCAGTCCGTGATACTTTCAATAATATTCTTCTTCAACACCATAACTCAAATGCATCAATTCTCCTATGGTCTTCCTTATTCAGTGTCCAATTTTCACATGCATGAAACTATTGAAAATACCATGGTTTGGGTCAGGCACACCTTAATCCTCAAACTGTTATCTTTGCTCTTATACTTTAAAGACACCTTGGGCAGCAGATTTGCTTAATGCAATACGTCATCTAATTTCCTGACTGCTGCTTCCATGAGTGTTGGTTATGGATCCAAACATCTTCGTTGTTGTTGTTAAGTGCCATTGAGTTGGTTCAGACTCATACTCACCCTGTATAGAGTTTCTGAGGAGCACCTTGCGGGTTTGAGCTGCCTACCTTGTAGTTCACAATACAGTGTTGATCCTACAGCGCCACAACCAGAGAACATTTTCATCCCCTCTAAAAGACACCTCATGCATGCACCAGTGTTCACTGCAGCATTATTATAGTAACCAAAAGGTGGAAACAACCACAAGTGGCCATCAGCAGATGAATGGATAAATAAAATGTGATTTATCAATACAGTGGAATACTGTTCAGCCATAAAGAGAACTGAAGTTCTGATACACAAGAACATCCTATTAACTAAAATAAGTCTGTCACAAAAGAACAGATATTGTATGATCCCATTTATATCAAATCTCTGGAATAGGCAAATGCATGGAGACCAAAGTTTATTAGTGGTTATAAGTGATGAAGGGACAGAAAATGGAAAGGGGCTGCTAAAAGTGTGCTGAGTTTTTGGTGTAGTGATGAAAAACTTTCAGAACTGGATAGTGGAGATGGCTATGGAACATGATCTATATAATTAATATCACTGACTTGGACACTAAGATCATTAAAAGAGCAAAATTTGTTACATGTATTTTAACACAATAAATTTTCTTTAAAAAGAAAGAAACTGCATATGCTTTTAACTATTGCCCATCTCTATCCTCATCCCCTCTAGCTCTGCATAACCATTCATTGCTTTTCTGTATATATAAATATGAGTGTTTTGGGCATTTCATATAAATGGAATCTTGTAGTATGTGTGTGCCCTTTTGTGACTGGTTTCTTTTACTTACCATAATGTGTTCCCAGTTCTGTGTTCTAACATGTATCACTGTGGGCCAAATAATAGCCATTGTATGGATATATCACATTTTGTTTATCAACTGATAACATTTGGGTTGTTTCTATCTTTGACTATTATTAAGAATGCTACTATGAACACTCATGCACAAATTTTTGTGTGAATATTGATTTTCATTTGTCTTGGATATAAGAGGGGTTTTTTAAATATTCATGGAAAAATGGAATGAAAAGATAATGGAGGGGAAAAAAAGATAATGGAATATTTCCATGGACTTTTTGAAGCATCCTGGTATACCTGGATGGACTTGCTAGATCATAAGTTAACTCTCCTTTTAGCCTTTTGCGGAACTGCCAGTGTTTTCCAAAATGTCTGTACCATTTCACATTCCTACAAGCAATGTAAGAGGGTTCCAAGTTTTCCACATTTTTTCCAACCCTTACTATGCTTCTGGATTATATAGGTATCCTAGGGAGTCATGGTGTGGTGCTACGGGACAATGTGCTGGACCACGCGGTCGATTTTGAATAGCAAGGTTACAGTTTAATTTGTATTTCCTTGATGGTTAATGATGTCAAGCATGTGCTTGTTGGTCATTTGTATATCTTTTTTTGGAGAAATGACTATCACATTTTTTGGCCATTTTTTAATTGTGTTCTTTTTACTGTTGTCTTTTATCTAGTCTGGATACTTAGAACCTTATCAGATATGTAAGGAGATTTCAGAAATTCATGGAAAAAAAGGAATCGAAAGACAATGAAATTTTTCTATGAACTTTTGGGAGTCCCCTTCTATGACATGTTAATGTTTTCTCTCTTTCTGGGGGTTGTCATTTCACTTTCTTGATCATGTATTTTGAAGCATTACAGTTCTAAATTTTGATTAAATGAAATTTAATTTTTTTTCTTTCTGTTGCTCATCATTGCGATGTCATATAGTTTTAGCTTTTAAATTTAGGAGTTTGATCCATTTTGAATTAATTTTTATATATGGTATGAGGTAAGGATCTAAATTTGCTCTCATTTGTTGAAAAGGTTGTCCTTTTTCCATCAAATGTTCTTGACACCCATATTAAGAATCAATTGAGCTGTTTTCATCTTCTCTTGGTTGTAGCTTCTTTAGCTGTTCTCAAAGGTGCAGCTCAAACTGATGAAGATCAACCACGAGATGCTGAACAAAGTGCTGGCCCGGTTGGGGGTTGCCAGCTAGTGTTGCTTCGTGGATGTGCTGGGGCTGGAGGAAGAGGCACTGAGCTCAGTACCAGCACCTGCCTGTGTGCTGTGGCTGCTCTTTCTGCTCACTGCTCAGCATGAGAATTTTAGGAAAAAACAGATTGAAGAACTGAAGGGACAAGAAGTTAGTCCTAAAATGTACTTTATGAAGCAGACCATTGGGAACTCCTGTACAGTTGGGCTTATCCATGCAGTGGCCAATCATCAGGACAAACTGGAATTCAAGAATGGGTCAGTCCTGAAAGTTTCTTTCTGGAACAGAGATATCCCCTGAAGACAGAGCAAAATGCTTAGAAAAGAACAAGGCCATCCAGGCAACCGATGATAATGTGGTGCAGGAGGGCCAGTGCCGGGTAGATGACAAAGTAAACTTTCACTTTATTCTGTTTAACGTGGATGGCCATCTCTATGAACTACATGGACAGATGCCTTTTCCAGTGAACCATGGCATCAGTTCAGAGGACTCACTACAGCAAGATGCAGCCAAAGTCTGCAGAGAATTCACTGAGCATGAGCAAAGGGAGGCCTGCTTCTTTGCCAGCCCTCTGCAAGGCAGCCTAATGCCCTATGGGAGGGAGCTGGTTCCCTCTTCCCTTCAACATGAAAACAGGTATCTACTGTTGTTGTTGTTAAGTGCCGTCGAGTTGATTCCAA